AATTGTGATAACGGAATAAGAGCGTTTTGGGAGGAACTTCTTTAAATAGACTCCGTTTGGTTAAGCTAGTACGATCTGTAACTTATTAATGGTAATAATATAGTTATAATGCTGTGACTTATTTTCTGCATACTTTCCACTAGTATATACTGACCATGTTAAACTTGTCAGACTAGTCTCAAAATTTCGCTCTGTTATGTTTCTAATTACTGGCATGAACATATTTCATGCAGTATTTTGATACGTTTATAATATCCGTTTAAAACTTCACATACCACCTACGATTCTTAAGTTATCGTCGTGAAATCGCAAGCTAAATTGCTACATTTACATAGATTTATATCGGATACCATGTTGATTTACGTTTCAAGAAATTGTTACCTATAAAACTTACACATTTTTACGTTATGCAGTAAATCTTTGCTTTCAAATCTAGATCTCCTCTAGATCCAACTGAGGCTCTTACCCAGTGGGTGAAGTGACCACTCAGCTGCATCTAGTGCCCACGTCATGATTGTATAAAGCTATACCTTCACTCTCCGAGTCGTGTCCACGGCGTGCTGTTTAAGCACAGGAACAAAAATACCTTTGCTACTAATACACTATTAAGCTTGCCAATATTTTGTTTCGTTAAAATATGTGGAAGCGAAACTATTTGTAAATATAAACTCTGGCACTCATATTACTCACGTTCATTGTACCAGAGCAATGCTATTTGTCTGTGTATGTCGTGGTTAATTTAAGTAGCGAATTGGACTACTTTGATCAGAGTTTATTTTTGTGTAGAACCGCACATATAACTGAATCCGAAGTTTCAGCACCGCTAATACAAGAGCCTGGCATTCTACACGATTCTTAGCTAGTTACATTTACCTCCCATCCTCACAGTTTTCTTCTCCGACACCCATTTTAATTGTTTTCAAAGTGGAATTTTTCCAATACGCTTCTCTGCTAAAATCGTGGAAGAAGATGGTTGTCTTCTCTATCTCTATCATCAGGGCAGCAAGGACCTCTGAAACGTCGGTAAACTTCTACCAGAAGACAGTCTTCATATTCACCGCCGTAAGAACCAGAAATCTCATCTGCCATTTCTGCACTGGGCGAATAGTTTTCACGCGAAATTATAAATTTTGAATCTCATACACGCGATTAATGTAATATGTCAGCAACATTTTAGTGATCACTGGCATTTGGTTTCACTCCTAGGAATTAATTGTTCCTTCAAAGGCGATGTGATTTCTTCAGGTTCCATTGCCATGTCCAGATACAGGAATAGGTATGAACACACTTTTCCGGATTTGGATAAAGTGCTCTATACATTTTTTGAGAGCGTAATTTTTGCCGGACTTAGGTTATATTTTATAGACTTAAAATATTTTTCCTATTTAACAGATAGGACCTTTCTGTGTTGTGTGGTACTAAGAATACAAGCAAGACATGACAGGTCAAAAAGTCACCGTTGTTTTACAAACAGCGTTTTATTATAGTTTATTAAAGATTGTGTGTGTGTAGTGGTTGGCCGTATGGTTTGTCCTGTTTTCCGTAATTCAAGAATTGACTATGATTGTTACATTTCTCACCTCACTAATTATATTCGAATGACCATTAGTTTTGTTTGATTATCCTGAATGTTTATGCAAGTCCTGTATTGAAAAATTCTTTGGGCATGAAGAATGTATAGGCAGTTCGAGATAATTTGAGTTCTAGTCGTTCACAAATAGGCAGTGACGGAAATAGGGACTAACAGTTTCGGAAGTTTGGCAACGTCGTGGGTTGGCAGCAGGATGAACTGCTGCACCATCTGTATTCAGTATGTGCAAGTACTGGACCATAAATGGAGAAGACCCGCCTCAGATCCAGGCAGCGATTGTGGGGTGTAAGGGAGTTTAACGACTCGAAATTTGATGCGTTGCTTGTCTTGCTTCCAGAGAACAAGAGTATTAATTTCTCATCAGCCATTCATTGTGTTTTCCGGGATCTTTCACAATACGTACTGAATTATGGCTCCTGAAAGACATCCGTTTGGAGGACAGAAGAGGGGATGGGAGGATGACGTTAAGACGGATCTTAATGAGGCATGTTGTCTTAGGATCGTATACAGCGGCTGGCTTTGGTGTTGAACCTTCGGGTTCTTTAACCACTGTGATAGATTTGCTAAACTTCTACCAGACTACACAGCTCAATGTCTCAAAAGACAGGCATCTTCATACTCGCCGCCGTGAGAACCTGAAAAGTTTCCTCACCAAAATTCTGTATGTATTCCTCGTCTCCCAATCTTAACCACATGCTGCATGTTCACCCTCTAAATAAACGTGTCTGTACTGTGTGACCTGTACAAATCACGAAGTTTTTTATATTTAATATTCTATCGCCCACTTCATCCGTTTTTGCTCGAAGTATTTTCCTGGGCACTTTTTAATTACTAGTAATTTGTTCTTTCGACTTAAGAGACCATGGTTTATACAAAACTGAAAATTATTATCTTGTCTATTGCGATACTGTCTTTCTGTCTGTCATAAAAACGGCAGTGTTGTTTGTGATGTCAGTGATCGCTATGAGAATATACATGCTTTAACAGACCAAGATTACAAGCGTGAAGCTTCCGTTCACCACAACTGCACGAAAGTAAAGGCGATTGCAATGGGAATTACAGGTGACTTATCAAAAGTAATTGCTACAGCGCGTGTGGGGGTCGACTTCCTGTGAAGGCAGCGACAGAGCTTGAACACGGTCATTGATTTCTTTGTACATCCAGTGTTTAGGGAAACATATTTTATATTAATATTTATTTTCGCCTATTTTCTTTGTTGTGTTGTCATGTCATTGTGTCTGTCCGCCAAAATATATTTTGAAACACTTCACATTTTTCCACCACCACAGGCTAACCGAATTTTCACTTTTAAATTTCACACTTCATAATATCAACATGGCGGCTGTCCGAACTAATGTTGTGGGCACGACACGAAAACCACTTTAATAGGAGGTCCAACTTCCTATCAGTTGGTTACTGAGGGCCCTTTTCCCGGAAATAAAGCGGCCGGACTCAGGCTGTGATGTAATAGGGACAACTTTAGCTGAAATGTTAAATGTCAACTAACGTAGGCTACCATTGAAGGTAGAAGCTAGGAGCTCGTGTGAATACGGACAATAACTATTTGTGTGAAGTGTTTACATGTCAGTAGTTAAAATATAGCGGCGGTACGAAACTTTGATGTCATAAATTTAACGCTGTCCAAATTTGTGGATATTATGCTCAGAAATTGAGCACTAATTTATAGTTCTGCATCCTCTACCCTGTAAATTGAAACAGTTTAAGGAACGTAGGCGTCATAATTTCTTCGCAGAACCTATTCTTAAGTCGTTTCTGAGTTGAAACTGCGGTTTAAAAGTTATCTTATCAGCTTGTTTCCCTCTCTTCCCCCGTTACGATTCTCGGTATTTCTTTTCCGGTTAATCACTTTTAAAACTACAGGTCGAATTTTCGTTGAATCGAATGTGCGCGCGATTGTGTTGAAAATGCGAAGCTCTTTTCCACAGAATTTCTTTCTCTTTCAATAATATGGTTACCACACGAACTTGTTTTTATTCTATGAGCATGTCTTTACTGTGGAACAAATTAGATTAAGTTCTGCAAGGGAGCAGCCTACCCCTACAATAACAATTTATAAAAGGGCCAAGGACTCTCGTTTGCTTGCCGCTTTCATACTTCGTACAGTAATTAATTTCATATTGCGATTCTTGGCGGATTTTGAATAGCATAATAGAATTTGAAGTTACTGTCGTATTTATCTGGATATATTAAAAATTCCGTTAGGGTTAGTAGATTCGAATTCAAGCTACAAATTCAAATATTTTCTGTAGTATGAATTAAATATTCAGGGAATTGGCAGACCACATTGTGGCCATTTGACTAAGACATTTGAAAGTTAATTACAAGATGTCTATAGGTCTTTGGATAAGGTTTCGATGTTACAAAATATGATTCTGAGTGTTTAGATTAAATATTTTACTGCAATAATGAGCATATGCCCGTAGGATTTGAGTTCTCATGGCGGTGTGTACAAAGACGGCTGTCTGCTGGAATGTAGTGCCATGTGGTCTGGTAAGACTGCATGGTACTACAACCCAGAAGACAGCCATTTTAACTTCTGCGTGCAGTACACCGACTTTTCATAAAAATACCTACGATAGCAATCCCTCAGCAGCCGTAATGTGTCAATGTTAGCCCTGAAGATGGAATCGCTGGTATCTGCCCACAAGTCGACATGGTGTTTCAACCCAGAGGACTAACATTGGCTGATAGTAATATGGATCCTTGAGAAATGAGGTGTAGGATGTGAGCTGTACTCATCTGACTCTGGATAGGGACTGGAATAAACCTTTGAATTCCTCAAAATGCAGATTTCTTGACTAGCTAAGTGACAACTAGCTTATCAATACTCTGCTCCGTGTCGGTGTAACACTGTTAAAATCCAATGTAAGAACATTACGTGACAGTGTAAGGCAGTGGTCCCCAACATTTTGTGCTCACGGGCACATTTGAGAGTTTATGAGATCGTGGCGGGCACCAACCAATTAACAAAACCAAATTTTTTTCCCTGGACAAATAAGATATGGACACCAAATAATACACAAAACAACACGACGTTTAATGACACAAGAAAACACGCAATCAAAAAATACGTACTTTTATAAGTACAATTATTATTACTCAAGTGGGAAGTTAGTGTGATGTTTGGCACTGCATTTCATCGGCCAGTTTTTCAAATTTGGGAGTGTAGGATGATGTTGCTGCTCGCAAACGATCGTCAAGATGGGCGTCAGTAAGTCGAGATCTGCGCTTTGATTTTATAATGTTCACGGTTGAACGGCCTTCATTATTCAGTATAAACTCTTTCCGTATCAACGCGGGCACCCAAAAAAAGCCTTGGCGTTGGGGACCACTGGTGTAAGGATTAAATAGGGATTGCTTATTCCATTGCTGTGTTTCCTTGTTACAGATTAATTGTAGTAGAAACTTCAGACAATGAGCACATCATTGAAGGACTTGCCCAAGGTGAATGTGGACCTCAAGAGTGAATTGGAAGGATTCAAGACAGGAAACATGAAGAAGGCAGAAACTCAAGAGAAAAATGTTTTACCAACAGCAGAAGGTATGTAGAAAGATTAGTCCATGGTTCTTGGATGACAGTAAAATTCGTTCTTCCAGACTTTCCTTTTTCTGTATTGCCAGACCTGAAATTTAGTGTAGTCACAAGCTAGCCTAGGAAATGCAACTGACCTCTAATTTCTTACTATAATTTATGATTTCTTTATTCTTTTTATATTGTCTGGTACCTGGTATTATATCTATAGCAGATATTTTGCATGGTTTTTGTGCATAATGATTGCCGTATGTTATTTATGGATTATGTTGCTCTGTTGTATGTCTTGCTTAGATGTTTCAGTGTTAGGAATGCAGAATTCATGACACCAGCAAAAAAAAATATGAAGACAAGTTATTTCCAGAATTTCTTGTTCTAGGCTTTTGATATTCTATCCACCTGATGTCAAGGTCACTGTCTCTGGGCATAAAGTTGGTCAGAGCATGAAGCTGTCCACTCATCTTATATATAACATTGAAATTTTCATTGTTTTCCACCAGAAATCTTTGTTTGGTCCATTTTGAAATACATCGCCCACCTAACATGACCCAGTATGAAGGTCATAAACTTAACTTCCGTTTTGTGAGATCAAGGTTCTCATTGCATTGTAGATGTTGATATTATTCAGGGTTATGAATGACGCTGATTGTCCGTTGGCTGAAAAAACCTCCCAAATTCAGAGATTTTATTTTTGCTAAGTCTTCCATGTCTGGAATGTTATGGAAGTTCAGTGCCTTATCAAATTAAAACAAAATGGGCATACACCAAAGTATTTCTTTGCTTATCACTTATTTAAAAAAATGTTTACCGATGATCCAGTCATTGAATTTCTTATTGTTACGATAGGTTCAATTATGAGTCAAACTACACATTGCATTTTATGTAATAGAAATCCGCATTCCTGATATTGTATTCAAATCATTTTCTTGCTTTTATTTTGGTCGTTCTTCTTGTGTTGCAACACTATAAAATCTTATTGTTACGATAGGTTCAATTATGAGTCAAACTACACATTGCATTTTATGTAATAGAAATCCGCATTCCTGATATTGTATTCAAATCATTTTCTTGCGTTTATTTTGGTCGTTCTTCTTGTGTTTGACAAAAGTTTAGAATTGTTAAATATTACTCTTGGGTAACTGAAACTTTCTCCACTTTGGGGTCCTCCTCCATTTTCAGCTTATTTTACTCAGTTTTAGGCCTTGATTCCTTTTTATATTTTTCAAGAAGTGAAGGTTATTTGTATTCATTGTACTTCATTAGCATGCTGCATGGCTCACTATTAGAAGCACAATGTTGAGTGTTGATTCATTAATTAGATGTGAAACAAGAGCGGCAACACAGCGAGCTTATTCAAGGCGTCGAGAGCTTTAAAACCGACAGGTTAAAGCGGACCAACACTCAAGAAAAAATTGTCCTACCAAATGCTCAAGGTATGTTGTGTGCAGTATGCTTTATTTCCTTGCTTGAACCTACAAACTGTTTTTTTCAAATCCCTTCATGTAAAATCTTGAGTTCGGTTAGGTTAGGTTGGTGTTACAACTTTCTCTCCACAAATGCAATTGTTTCAGACTTATATCTGAAGGGCAGTTTAAGAAGAAAGAACTACACTTTTTTACGCATCATTCTTGAATTATTATGTAACGACTCTTGCTTAAGTATCTTGTAAGTGCAACATTTCTCCAACTTGGCATCGGAAATCATCGTTCCCTGTATTTTGTTATGTGATAAAATTGTCGTATAGTGTTTCAAATAAAAACTGTAGATTTTAATGAGATTCATGGCTTGTTGTATAAGCATTTTCTGTACAATTAGCTGTTCTTGAAAAATAAAATTATAAAGTTTGGTTTGAGCTTCAGTAAAGTACAGTTTTATATTTGACCAATGTGAATAATAAATTATATGTTAACTCTTAGTGCAGACCACAGATACCAAATTCCATCAGTAGTCTGAGATGAAACTTGCAGGTAGATAGACAGGCAGGCATGACATGGCCTCTCCATTATGCATTAATTTTATGTACTCGTGCATAGAAAGCATTAAAGCAGAATTTGTTTGGAATTGACCACATTCCTAAACATTAACACGCCTCAGACAAGTACATCAATGTGAATTATTCTAATTGAATTATTTTACTTATTTAAATTACAGTAATTGGATTCTGGTTTATGAAAGTGCTTTGTCAGTTACATTGGGTACATACCATACATGGTTAACATTTTTATGAATGAGCGTTGAGTTGGAAAAGATATGGACAAATGTTGGTGACAGTTATGATAAATATGACAAAGGTCTGTAATTTATACTCATAGAATAGATGCCATATGTGATGAGATACTCTCTACAACATTTAAAACCTTCTGTCAGTTTAGTGATAGTTTTTAAATTTTTTTTGAAAATTCCAACCTGAATTGGGTTTGTTGTACAGTTTAATTATAACACTGTTGAATAAGTATCATCCCGCCCGTTGGTTAACATCGACCAGACTACACAGCGCAACAACCCAGAAGACAGAAATCTTTAATTCTGCCTTGCTTTCTTTCTTGTGGAATGTTCATATTCAAGCTGACCCATTTACAAAATAACTTGTAAGGTAAGTGACCTCCTTCAGATGTATTGTCTAACAGGTTAACATGACCTGATGTCCTCTATTATGCTTTGACTCTATATTTTAAATAAGCTTATTGCATGTTACTATGCATCCCTACTGTTTGTAGTCAACATTGCTTTGTGTGTATTATTGATAATCAAGTGGAAGGCCTTGCATGCTTCTAATATGTAGTGTGCTAGAATGCGTATTGATTTCTCAGTCGGTGCTATAAAAATTAACTTTTTTATTGATGATGAATGGCTGTACAGATTTTTATGAAACACCCATGTTGAACATAAGTTTGTGCACAAATAGAGTTACTTGATTGATTACACATAAAAATATTTTCAAATTTGAATGTTAAATGTAGGTATTTTATTTATAATTCAGTCAGTTTTTATTGCTGCATGCAAAGAGTCAATGTTTTTTAACATTAACATCTGTAACCATATTATATTTTATTTTGCAGCATTACAGTGAGTGAACACATTCCCAGTGATGTAAGATACTGTGTACACATGTTTTATTGAAGTATTCTCTGATTGTGATCTGATTTGTGGCTCTGTGTAGTTACATATGCAAATAGAAAAGTTTGAAGAACATACTACCCATCTTCTTCATCTTCCTCAGAATTGCTTGGAACCACCTACAAAGTTCCAAGTTGTAACAAGCCATAGGACTACAATCTGAATGCTCACTGCTGTGAAAACCTCAAGTTTCACATAATAGGAACATGGTTTTCTTTAAAATTCTACCATGAAATTGCTCTGAAAATAGTTAACTGGCACAATATCAATTCTTTCCTTAGTACAGTAAAACTGTAGTAGCCATGTCTGAAATAGGTTTATTGGTCTCTGCAAGAAGTTTTGAAAGTGTTACAAATATGAATGAGGATGCCTCCATTATATTTTAGTTTATTTTGTGTGTTATTTCTTTCATACTGGTATTTTGGATTTATCATAAATCTTGCTTATAAAGGGGTATTCATAAAATATTTAGGAGTTAAAGGATTACTGCCTCAGTGATTCTTAGACCTGTCAGGGCACAGCTTTTACGTGCATTTCAGAAGAAAATATGTCTGTTTCTGTATAGATGTTGCTACAGAGAAAACTCAGAAAGCTCTCCTGCAGGGTGTGGAAGCTTTTGATACAGGGAAGTTGAAACACACAGAAACTCAGGAGAAAAATCCCCTTCCAGATAAGGATGGTAAGTATACTGCATAATAATAGAATGTTTTTAATGCATGGCTTAGAACTGGAGTAAGAATTATTGGTGGTAAGAAAGCATGATTAAAAAATATTTGCCTGCAAGTGTGAATTCTTTTGCACAGTGCTACACTAATATACTTGTTCAGCATAAAATTTCAGCAAGTAAATTTTATAAGAAATCTCTAATATCTGTTTAGATGATCACATTTGTAAGGTTTGAAAAGTTATACCAAGTTAGCACGTGCTGAACTAAAATTCATTCTTCTCTGAAAGAATTGCATCGTTGTTAATAATTCTGCCACCATGTGTAAATTGCGGCTTCTGGTAGCTTAGTCAGTTTAGTGCTTAGGCTACATGATGAGGTTCAGTAATTTGAGAAAAGATTTGATCACTTCTTAAATTAGATGAAATAAAAGATGGCTGTAGGACTGAATCTGTATATAAAAATTCACACGTGTCTGTCAATCCGTCCATATTTCAGTCTCTGCCAGATGGAATTAAGATTTTAACTTTAGTATGCACACAGTGGTTATTAATGAAAGTCCAAAGAGATTGAAAATCTTGAAAAATGGAATGGGTTTATGCATTGCAAAAGTCATCTGAGTGGGCTCTTCCCTTCAGGCTTTCTGGCTGAAATTAAAAATTAATTTCTCATACAAAATATTGTCCGAACACCTGGATGGACAAGGCCAGTAATGAGACCTGGCCACAATACCGGGATAATATTAAAGCACATGTCTTAAAGATTAATAGCTTGTAGCCTGGATTCAATTGGCATAGGATAGGGACCTGTGGTGGACTCTTGTTGGCCCTATAATGAACATTTGGGTTTAATAGGCTGGGGATTCCCTGACTTAACTGTTTGCTTTTTAAGGATGACCCATCTCCTTAGGTTGGTAGACTGGTTTATATAAAAGAATCAGCATTTACTGTAACACTAAACTTTTGTAGTGTGAAGTTAAGTTCTTTGTCTTTAAGTAGTTACATTTAGTAGTCGGAGGTTTGTACGTAAAAGGATTTTGGATTTTGATATGTACTAGTAAAGCAATCTAACATTTCATGTAAGTGGCAATTAATTTACCACAGGTGATGTATCAAATATTTGTTCTATGTTGTATTTCTCTGAGCATGTTAATTTGATTTCTCTGAGCATGTTATTTTGATTTCTCTGAGCATGTTATTTTGATTTCTTTGAGCGTGGTAATTTGATTTCTCTGATCATGTTAATTTGATTTCTCTGAGCATGTTATTTTGATTTCTTTGAGCGTGTTAATTTGATTTCTCTGAGCATGTTTATTTGATTTGAAGGTGACACAATATAATTCTGAATCTAACAATATCATTGATATTTGGTTGTTAAAAAAATATATTGTTGTTTTGTTATTTTGTAAATAGTTTGTTTGAAAGTCACCACAAAAGACAACTATTCTCATTAATGTATTTAAGATGAAGCGCGAGGAATTTAAAGGCATAGCAGTGCTTTTGCCTAATATGCTGTGCATGAATTTTACTTTGCTTTGCATCTTGCTTGCCTTGCCATCAGTTGTCAAACAAGAGAAGGTCCACCAGAACTTGTTGGAAGGAGTTGAACACTTCGACAAGGCTACAATGAAACCCACACAAACTCAGGAAAAGAATCCACTTCCAGATCCAGAAGGTAGGTGGCATGGAGGTGGTCTAGAAACCTGCTAGCTGTTTGAGTATTCATTCAACATGGCTATTTGAAAAGTTTATCTTCATGACCTTTGATTGTGTTTAAATAATTGAGGAGTTGCTTTATTTCTATAAAACAGAATTTTGTTTCCCAAACTATCATAATTTGTGTTGGTAGCACAGCATGCCTGTAAAATGTTATCTGAAGAGACTCATTGAAATTGTGTTTGAATGTTATTAAGTGGCTTGGTCACAGAAGTGCAGCATTCTAAACTCTTGTTCAAAGTTGTTATGAATAATAATAGGGAACTTAAAATTTTCGCTCGGTTTTTATCTCCCCTAACCTTGAGTGTATATTGACTACTATTCAAATGTGTAATCATGATCTGTACATAAATTTTTTAATTGCTACATAGTGTGAAACTAAACCAAATAAATGCTTTCATCAGAAGTCATTACAAATTAATATATCTTCAAACCAGTTTTATATTTTCTTTTGACTAATGAATTAAAATGGGTCAAAATTAGTTGTAAATGTAAATAGATAAAGCTGTCATTGTGCTTAAGCTGTGCACTGTGTAGATGTATGGGGAGTGGCGGTATAGCTTTGTGAATTCCTAACCTCGATGCTGAATGGAAGTGATTGGTCAGCTTCATAATCCAGCCTCTTTGATCATGAGGAAAGATCCTCTGGTACCCATGGGATAGAATAGGTGGGTTCCAGATATATTCTGGACATATTTGGGAAGAGAAGTCTCTGCCCTGCTGGAAATGGAACCCAGTCATCATCTTATAGCCAGTCGCTGTAGTTCATGTGGAATTCACACTTCCCTGTATGTTATAAATCTTAAAAACAATTAAAAATTAAATCCGTGGCGTAACCGCTCCAGAGAGCCAAAGCCAACTAGCTTGACTGCTGGTCTCAAGTTCACATGCCTAAGCAAAGGTGAACGATCATCCAACCAGATATAGGGTGATGTGTGGTCAGCACGACGAACCCCCAGCCATTGCTAGCTTTCCTGACTAGATTACGCTACTCATTGTAGCTCCCCAATTTCCTCACGATGCTGGGTTGGCACCGGTCCCATACACTGGTCGAAAGCTCATGAGAAAATTTCTTTTCACCCAAGACTCTAACCAGCGCACATTCCGTATCGCCGGTCCGACCGCGTGGCTATGGTGTGGGACTCTTAAAAACAATACTTCCACATTTTAAAGATGTTTTCTGCAATGACTAAAGAGGGAGGCCTATTTCCTGTTCTGAAATTTGAAAGCATATGATTAATATCATCAGTATTCACCTGTCATTCATAACATTCTTCACTGAAACATGTTTAAATTGACCTAAGATTTTTTATCATAAATGTAATTACAAGGAGTTATTAGATAGCGGAGGTATATTTGTTCATATTCTTTACATAGCTATTTATTATAAATTTTATTTCATCATAATTAATATTCTGCATTGTCAGACACATAATTACCTTATTTGGAACTTGCGTGTCAGAATAATTTTTGACTTTTAATTTATGTACTTATTGACACTAGTATTGACAAATGATATCCATAAAATGTTTATTAGGCGGTCTACAGTGGCCAAGCGGTCTGAGGCGTGGGTCTTGTGCCGCTTGTTCGCGGGGACAGTGGGTTTGAATCCCACTCTAGCCATGGATGTTTTTCTGTGTTGTGCTGTCCTGTAAATAGGTAGAGGCCTTGCGATGGGCCGATCTCTTGTCCAATGAGTCCTACCGAATGTCCATAGATGAAGCCAACTAAAAAGTTGGGGACCCATAAAGGTACCGGAAAATGTACAAACATTGTTAAACCGGAAAAAGAAGAAGAAAATGTTTATTAATAAGGTGCTTTGTCATTTACTGTTCATAGTAGTAATCCTCATGTGTAAAGTCATATTAGTATCCATGACACATAGCAGTGATCTTTCAAGCAAATACATAGATAAGCTCACCAGATATTTTATTAATTTTTCTTTTATTGTTTGCTTTGCAGCTATAGAACAAGAGAAGGAGAAACAAAATTTGATTGCTGGCATTGAAAATTTTGATACAAAGAAGTTGAAGCACACTGAAACCCAAGAAAAGAATCCTCTGCCAACAAAAGAAGGTGAGTGAAAATAGTAACAAGAGTAGAAAGGCATAATCTATATTGAAATACGGTTTTCATGTGTTCTTTTACCTTTGCATTCTGAATGTACCTGATGGACATAATATTTTATATATGTTTTCACACAAATAGTCTTTTAAACTCTGCAGTTGTGTATTTTTCAAACTATATTTTTCAGAATTTCTGTATTGAATTCATATCAAGAGTAACTGAAAATAGATATTGAGCTGGCATATCTGTCAGTATAGTAAAACGTTCAGATTTTTATGTTGTGTGATTAATTTAAATTGTTTACTTCCAGCCATTGATGAAGAGAAAAAGGCATAAAAACCTCGCTAACTCGTTCCAGCATTCAGGTGCATTTTTCAACCAATTTGCGTAGAAGGAACTTGTCCTCCTGCAACCAGCCAGCTCAATTGGGATCATCTGTTTTTATTACTTCTGGTCAATTTATTTTCTGTCACTATTTATAAAAGTAATAATAACAATAATAATATTTTCTTATCCGGCCATTAGACAACGAATGAAAACAATTTGAATGTGATTGTGTATGCCAAGTGCTTCCGCATATTTTGTATTGGATAAACCACCATGGCAAAATATTTGTATACTGTAATTATAGCATAATTTTTTTATTAATTGAAACTGCCTTGGTGTATTGTTTTATTTTGAAGATCAGTATGTATGGTTATGAAGTTTTGTATGCCGTGAATGCAATTATTAGGCTTGTCACAGTTTGTATAACCAATAAACAATATATTTACCAGTAAAATATTTTTACGTTAATTTGTCATTATTTTCTTGGGATTCTGTAAGTAGAAGATATTTCATCCTTAAAGTTAAATTAATTAAATAAACCATTTTGGATAATTGAATTTTGTATGAAAATGCACTAATGCCCTTTTTTGAAATGTGCTGTACATATCCTTTTTGACTTTTTTGCAAAATGGGATGCAGCATTCTTCTAAATTAGGACTGATTTTGAATTTAGCACTTTGGTGTTGGAGTACAAACATTCCTAATATATTTTTGTATGGGTTTTGTACACACAATAAACATGTCATTTACATTTATCACATTTATGTAAAGTGAACTCCATGCCCAACAAGTCCAGATTCTCTGTTATGAGTTGCAGCTCCTGCACAGTTAAGATGCTGGAGGTATAGCTGAGTTATTTTCCTCACAGTTTTCTAGATCTGTTGGTCATAACATATTCCCTAGTTGGGCTGGAACAGTCACATTTTAAGTGGGTATCTCATTGTTGAGATCTTGCCCATTTCAGAACTGTATAATGGTTGAAATGTTTCTGTACTTTGTAACATGGAATGTGTCCTGCTTAATAACATTAACATATTCAGTATATTTTTTCTGAAAGAGCTCCCTCAGATTTATAGTTGAGAAATGTATGGATATGTTCCCTTTTTGGAAGCAAGTACTGGTATGAAAGAATGGTGTTTTAGAAATGACTGCTTTTTAAGTGGGTATGTTTTTAGTCATATTTTACTGTTGGCTAAAAAGTATGGTACATTTTTTGCCTTTGATATTTGGAACTCAAGAATTGTATTATCTGGTATTTGGAATTAAGAAATGTAGCAATGTAAAATACAAATTCCTTTAATTATGTGGTGGGACTGTCCAGAAATACCACTATTGCCCAATATTCAAGAAAGCTAAGTGTGGACCCACAAGTCTGTTTTTTATTCAATCCATGTGAAGTGCACATTGTAATGCCAAAATTTCATTTGCACACGGTATTTGTATAATATTGCTTTATGTCATTCCATAACTTGAATAAAGTTTATGTATGAAAATTCTTATTTTGTTGAACTCGGAACACTTCTTGCATACCATATTATGTTTGCTCAGATTCCATGAGAAATTAAATCTAAAATGGCACTAGTTATGAAGACTGCAGTACAGTTTAGCTTCATTTACAGATATTTTTGCTGATAATTTAAGTGTGGAATGTTTTAGTATAATATGGGGCTCTGGAAATACAGCTTAAATTTGAAGATGGCTGTCAACTGGGTTGTTGCACCATGTAGTCTGGTAGAAGTTTACTGATGTTTCAGAGGTCCTGTTGATGGAGGCAGCAACAACGTTTGAAACGTCGGTAAACTTATACAAAATTACATTGCAAAAGAATGCAGAAGACAGCCATCTTCAGATTCACTGCTTTGAAAACCTCAAATTCTACAGCTTAAATTTGCTAGCCATCACTCACTAACTAGCAGATTGGTAGTGTTCTTAATATACGTATATTTGCCTGTGGTTTACATTAACTCTGTAATGGTGAGTGAGGGACCATATTTCTGGGTGTCTGGTATAGTACAATTCTGTTGTCTTTCACAAACATCCACCTTTAGGGTTAAAGTGATTTATTTTAAATACAAGAATGAATACTTTCATAACACTTAATTTTCATGTACATTTCAACCTAATGAAGCAGTCTATTCCATAAAATTGACTTCTTAGAGTCCCAAGCAAATTTCCTTATTAATAAACATATTAATTAGTTGCCCATCCCATGGTTTAATTCATTGTCATCATCCATTGATGTTTCTACCATTGTGGACTGTCCTATAATGAACATTCTCCATTAATCTCTATAGTCCCATAAATGCTTCTCTTCTGTATGTCTGTATACGCTCTCATTCCACACTCCATTTTGTTTATCTTCCTCCACTTGACCCTCACAGCTGCAGAGTCCTTCAACTCCTCAGTGCTAAGTGTTCAACATTATTTTATGAGATGCTCTCAATGAAATGCTATTGCCAGCTTTTGTGTATAACATTTTCATACCTCTGTAGTGTTAACTTCACCAACTTTCCTTATACATTAAATCTTGCCCATGTTCTGCTTTCAGATTTCATAATTAGAAAGGCCAGATTTCATTACAGTAGACTTTCATTATCCACAGTTATACAGAACACTGCAGATATTACAAAATGACTGGTAATTCACACGTAGGGCTATATCTGTATTAAACTTGAAAGTATTAAATAATCAATTTTTTTATGTTTTGTGATAGAAATGTCACCAATATTCTGCTGGTCCTATAATTAGGATGTTATGTATGAATGGAATTATGCATCTAGGATCCTTTTGAAATGAAGTAGACAGGTGAGTTTGTTTTCTGTTTCTTCGGAGAGACACAGTTTCTTACTACTATACACCATTGTGTGAACAGAACTTATTCTTTGAAGATTGCTGTCTGGGTTGTTTTGTCATCTAGTCTGGTAGAAGTTTACCAACATTTCAGAGGTCCTTGCTGCCTCCATCATCCACAGTGCAACAACCCAGAAGACAGCAATCTTCAGACTCACTGCAGTGGAAACCTGAAATCCTACAACTTACTTTTACTTTACTTGATTCAATGGCTGAGTGCACTATGATTTGTTTCATAATTGAAAGCCTTTGTTGGCAGACACTTAAGAATAACTCTGAGGGTATATGAGAACAAGGTGCTTAGGATAAAGTTTGGACCTAGGAAGGATGAAGTTTCAGCATAATAGTATTCACCAATGTCATAAAGGTGATCAGATCAATGACATGGTGGTGCATTTAGTGTGCATAGGTGAGATTAAAAATGAATATTTTGTGAAAAGCTGTAAGGGAGGAGACCACTGAGAAGACCTAATTATAGTCAGATTTTTTTTTAAATTCGTCCAAGGGAAATAAGGTTTGAGATGTTTAATGAACCTCTGGGCTCCATAAAATGTGGATAATTCGACAAGCTAAGCGCAGAAGTAGCTTCTTGAGGACTATGCTCCATGGAGACCTTATTAAAAATTCGAAGGAATTGTGACTAGCACACAGAAAATTGCCGTCCCTAAAGTTGCCTCAGAGTTGCGAAAAAAAAAGGTCATGTTCGTGGCAATAATCTGCCGATCTGATGCTTATGTTCCGCGTTGGATGCAACATGTCCGCAGTCTATTGTGGAAATTAATCCGTGGTAGCAATTTTACAATGTCACAGATTGGTGTAGATTTTCCCCTACCGGCAGACGAAAGAAATTCAGAGAGCGGTGGTTGAAAGAGAAGGGCAAGTGTGCTGTGTGTTACTTGTCAATTACAACTTTAATTGCTTCGTGTAATAAACACAGTTTGTAGTGCATAAAATATAACGTATTACATATTTCTTTGTGTTTGTTACGTGTGGGTTAAATGTGTGTTGAAATAACTTTTCTATAGATACAAGAGTTCATAGTCAGCCTCTCCTTGAACACGTGAGTGTGATGGCTGTCAAAACATTTTACCAGGATTTTAGGATATACTTTTCTCAGAGGTTTTGTTATTGAAGGAATTTTTATGTTGCAACGTAAACGTGCAGATTTTATGGCAAGTAGCAGAGACTTTAAATTCTGAGCTGAATATTTATGTCCGTCCATTTTACGAAACGTAACTTTTTGTAGTCATGAATAAATATTGTTTTTGTTTGTAGTTATATTTATCCAGGATAATCAATTTGACATACTAACTGCGTCGAAGATATAATCTTGTGTAAATTAACATTACCTTTGGAATTCAAAAGTCGTCTGCGAGGCTGTCAAGGTCAAGCTACCGGTACCCATGTAGAAAGGTCTACATCACCAAATTTAATCCACATCCATCAAGTGGTTTGAAACACGAAGTGAGACATTCTTTTGACCCTCAATGCGTCTGCATTCCTCTCATAAAACTTTCCAGAATAGATTATTCTTATTTGAAGTATGCCTTTTTATTTTCAGTAGAGGACAATGACACCCAGCATTGCAGTTGCAACAGGGAAAGGAAAGAGGTTGCAGAATTGTATATTTATTAGTGTTAAGTGTTCAAGCTGCATTACCAGGGTTGTTGTATACTGTTTCAGAAATTTCTTAAAATAACAATTAAAAGTATTAAAGATGTCAAATTGATTTATTCCCAAACCAGATTTCTGTCAACTCCCTCAAGTTAATTGATGATATGAAACATGAAAATGGATGGAAGGACATGATCTCTTCATTTTATATTAAAGGAATTGAAAGATGTTTGGTGGTCAGTTATAAAACTTATCATGGGAAGTTCCCTCAAAACCTGTTGATTAGAATGCTGGGAGGACTGTAGAACCATTCTGGTGAAAGGAAAAAAATTCCTTTGTCTCCATTAGGGTTGAAACTCACACACATTTGATTTTGAATATGTTACCTGTTCTGTCTGATGTGTTTGAACTCCACACTACATATTTATTATGTCTTTATAAACTTTGCAACTTTGTTAATCCTGTATGGATATAAAAAATGACAGTCATGTGAAATATATATAACTTACCATTTGATATGATAATGAATACAGATAGATCATAAAAATACCTACAAATTTAATTTGAACCATTATTTTAAATGCTAGCAATTAGAAGCATTGAAGCTGTAGGAAGTTTTGAAGTCACATTTGACAATTTAATATAAGGAGAATCTGTACTAGTAAAAATTATACACAGAATTTAACTATTAATTAAAAGTTGTTAATGTTTAGTTCCTTCTAGTCTAACATGGACTGACTGAAAGTATGTATCATTAGTTCTCTTTCTGTGTTATGTCCATCTTGACTCTGAATTTTTGGATGTGATGCCTGGCCTCTTCATTATTACAAACTTATAATGATTATATGCAGAAGAGCTTATTTTATTTAGTTTGCTTGAATAATTAGTTTCTGAGTTTAATATGCATCACTTCATTCAAGATATTGGTAAGAGGTCTTAATAATGGTTCCAAGACGGTCATACCCAAAACCTACAGGACCAATGGATCAGTGGTTGGAGTCGCAAGGTTACTATCGGAAGCATACAGCTCGGGATGGATCATGTTTGTTCAGAGCAATATCAGAGCAGGTATTCAAAGAGAATTTATTGAAGTAGATATGTAAATTATCAACAGTGGATACTGTTCACCATAACAACCCATAAGAATCATCTGTCACTTTATTTTGACTTTCACAGACAAATTCGTAAAGAAATATGCATTCCTTTTTTGTATGTGTTGGTGACATCTCTGTTATGTACTGCTTTTGGTGATGGTATTGTGCACATGTGAGATGTACTGCCAATGTTTTGCCCACTCTGTATTTAAGACGAATCTCAGAAACATGATAAGTGTAACCCACTTTTGGCATAGTACTCATCAGTCCCTTCAAGAGTATTTTTAATAGCACTGTGAGAAGGCCACAATCGCACATTTTTAAATCCTTACCATTTATAACCATTTAGTGTGCCACTTTTGCAGTTGAAACATTGCCATTAACTAATTAAATATCAGTCAGAAATTGATAGTTCCTCGGCTGCTAAAGTGCACTTAGTGTTGGACCTATCCCAAACTAGTTCTCATCTGCAAAACCTGTTTTTCTAAGATCCACTTTAACAGTGGAACAACTTTATGATAGGATTTACATATACTTGATTCTCATTTCCATTACACCTGTATGACCACTCTTGCAAAATATCTCTCAAGACATATTCTATTTAAATTAAGATAACCTAACTTCTCATCAATTTTAAATTTGTAGGAAAACTATAAAGGTATGTTTTTCTTGTCCTTGCCATTACCTAATTTCTGAATTTGTGATATGGCATTTTATGGACTGGCAATAGCATACCTGTAAAATTCCAGTGGGATTATTATGTGGTTAGATATAAACTTCCTTTTTGAATATGCTTTTGTGTCATGCTGTGAGTTCAAGACATCATGAAAATGCTTTATTTTTACAGGTGTTCTATGTTCAAACTGTTCATCAGAAAGTTCGGAGGCAGTGTGTTGAATTTATTCAAAAGAATAAATGTAAATTTCAGGAGGTAATTGATTTTAAATTATTTTATAGTCATATAATGGATTTTAAGTTATAGTATAACCATAACCTCTGGTCTGCATGAGAGAGGAAGGAAAGGAGTAGTGGGGTGAAGAGGCAGTGGAAGCATAGCTATAGCAGGGACAAATTAACTGTTAATTACACTGAGATTTATTTATGTAATGTCTTGAAGGACTTACACTCTTGACCACTAGATTTGTGACTACTGACCAGTGACTCTATTGTTTGGTTATACAAAATTTTACTTTGTTATGTACTTGCTTATTTATTTGTGGCTTATTTAATGACACTGTAAGTAGCACAGACAGCATAGCACCAAATTATAGGATAATTTATGAGTAATGATTTGGAAAGGACATCTAACCATTCATTCCATCCCACAATTAAAATATTGATGATTATGTTACCTCGGCATGTTTAAAATACCACTGCCATTCAGAATAATTTATGGAAGAAAATGGCTGTTCCTAATTTAACCTTTATCATATCTTTGTCTCACTTATTACACACAATCCTGTTTTACATGCGTCACACTATCTTCTTCTTCTATGGCTCTCCGGTCCGTATTCAGTCCATGGCCTCCTCAATTATCTTCCATTAAGTCGTATTGTTAGGTCCATTCTGTTGGAGGCTTTGATTGAGGTTATGAAACATCTTCCTTTTTACGGTGCAAGGTTGTTAGCCTTGCGACCAACCCCCAACCTGGAGGACCAGGGTACCTGTCTTAGTCTGACCTCTCCCCCTTGACCAATCTGGCTAGGGAGGCCCTACCAGTAGCTAGTGGGGGCATCACACTATCATACTGCTAAACTGTTAGCCACAGAATTAAAGCCAGCCAACAGCCCCATAGTGCAGGGATTTGTATTCTTTTCCTATTTGATAAGGGCAAGGTACTGTCTTAGCATTTGCTGGAGGTACTGAGGAAAGCTACAAAAAGTGATTGATTGGGGGATCCCTAGGCTGCTTTGGCTACTGTATACCGCAGTTAATCAACTTTTTCTGCTATTTTTTGTTAAAAGGGTTTCTTTACAAATCTTAATGTAAAAAATAGGTACTAACTAAACAAAACAATATTTTCAAAAAGATATCAAATTTCCCTGTTTCAGTTCCTGAAGGAACCTTTAGAAGAATATGTGGTTCGTATGCTGGATTCTAGAGAGTGGGGAGGCCAGATGGAAATACATGCCATGGCTCTCTTATACCAGTAAGTCAATACCAAATTAAATTGTAATATATTAATGATTTATTTATTCTTCATATGATATAACTGTTTGCTCATGAGTTAATGTTTTAGTAATACTTAGTTTATTATTTGCTTTTATAGTTATGATGTGCTTGTTTTTGAAGAAGTAGGCAAATCTCCAACTGTCGCAACCAACTATGGCTTTACAAAGAAAATTCTGCTTTGCTTTTCTCCTGACAGCCATTATGATTCTGTGTACCCCAAGTTTTATATCATAAAGGCAGCATTTTGTCAATGTAAGTATTATTCTCATATCAACAAACGTTTAAGCAGCAAGCTAAACATTCCTCATATATTATTCCTGTAAATTTCATGGTATGTTTTATTTTTATATCCCAAGCCATGTTTGTATTTATGCTCCACATAGAGATTTCTGTACTAAAATTTTAAATTTCACAAGGGATGGACTTGGTTTAAAGTAATCGAGTATATGCAATAAAGTAGATTTTTAAAAATGTTATTCTCTTGAAATGTTTTCTATTTTCAGCATTAGTTTATGAGGTTCTGTACAAGAATGTATTCCAATTATCAGATGTCAATTATGCAGTGAATAAAATGTTACATGATAAAACAAATCGTGCACAGAAAGAGAGAGCAATAAATGAAGATCACCTTATATCCTGTGGAAGGTCAGTAAGTTATTTTTATACAGTGATTGTCAAATCCCATGTATTCATATTTCAGACAGTAATTTTGATAACAAACATTTTACTTTTATCAGCTGCAGTGCATGTTGGAAATTGCCATGGTAAGCAGGCAGGCAGGTGTGTGCATGTTATAAATTGTTTTCAGAAACATTCCAATTTCGTCTGAAGCACGCCTTCAATCAAAGTTATGGTGGCTTCTTCAAGTTGAAACTGATCATGAGGATTTGGGGCTTCCAAGTTAAAAATCAAGTGGGTAAGGTTAGGTGACCCTGGCAGATGAATATCCCTGTACATTATTCTTCCACCCAAAACACTGTTCATGGAAACGTGAACTGTATTTAGAGTAGAACCATTTTATTACAAATCAGGTCTAACTAGGCTTAGTGAACTTAGTGGCCAAACATCCTTGGAAATTATTTTATTACTGAAAATATCTTGTAGTAATGCTGTCGTGACTTTAGGGTTATATTTGCAGTTGCACCAGTTTGCTGGAAAAAGGTGCAAGTGATTTTGTTCTCATTTGACTGTGCAATTAATGTAGGATCATGCTACAGTAGTTTTCCATGTGGGTAGACTTTAGTTGAAAAGTGATTTTATGATCACTTTATGTTTTTAAAATATGGTACAAGCATTGTTACCTGGCATTCCATGAGCAATAGATGTGTCAGATAGTCAGATATTCTGGTTAACTAATAGTTTTATTTAAGTGAAAGATACAGTACTAAACCAGGCATGTAATTATAAGTAGCACATTTGATATTAACATAGTGCATTTTAGGATTATGGAGGATTGAGCTTTGTAGGTTTAAAAACGTTATTTATTTTTAATTTACTGACTGAAATTAAAATTGTTATCCATGACATTCTTCTCCGCTATGATTTATTTAACCCTTTGAAGCCGAAACTCATCTAAATAATAATTAAGAATTCAATCCATTCCGCAAAGAAAACATAACACTTTTCCATTACAAAGATAAGCTGATTAATACTATTTAAGGAAATAATTGCTAGTTCACAATGAATCATAAGTAAACCCATAAATGCAAAGTTCAGAGTTACTGATTGTTAAAGTAGATGGTATATATAGTTACCACTAGAATGAAATGCTACAGTACACAATTGATTTAAAATTAAGATAAAAGTAAATTAATAAATGATATAGCAGAATGGGAGCATCATTTTATTTGAGGAGATGAATGTGTTGGAACAGATAACTATTTAATGCTTGTATCTCCCAGTGATTGACACGTGTGTTTATTTTTCAGTTTTGGCTTCTCTATGGAAATATCCTTGGAGGCAAATAAAGAATATAAAGGCCTTGAAGAGATGAATATGAATGTTAAAGAACTACTGGCTCAGGGTGCTACTCCTTTCCCATATAAAGTTGCAAAAGCTCTAGACCAAAATATTTATCGTAACATTGAATTTGACATTTGGAATGACTTCAGAAGAGGTAAGAAAACAAAAAAGCTATCCCACTACACATCATGTAGGTACTTGGGCTGAGCTTCTACTCATTCTTAACCTAAAATGGTAGTTTCTTTAAGGACTCCACAAAAATGGATCATATGGTGTTACTCCCAGAATCAGTAAATCATAATTTCTTTCTCCTATTAGGATTTCATGTGCTATAGAAGCGTATTATTTACAGAATCAATTTTTGTGTATTTGAAAATATTCATCTAAAGTATAGCAGTGATGTTCTTTATCATACAGAGATGAAGTATGGCTGGTACAGGAATAATGGAGAGCTGCAGGTTGGAGTAAAATGCCTCGTGAAATTGAATCCTGACAGGAATTTCCATGCTCATATTCAAGAAATGTCACCTGACAAAGGACCAGTCATTGTTTTTGTTGAAGAGCTCGGAGAAAAGTGAGTAAAGGAGCTTCAGTAACTAGTTTATTTTTATATATTTGTATTTGGTTAACATTCATTGTCAAAAGTCAGCAGTTGTTAAATTTTGCTATGAAACTTGATTCTTGTATTTCTTAATTTCATCATGAATGTAATTTTGACCTTAATGCAACTTTGAATCATACATATATCCTTTACCCAATTTTTGTAACAAAGAAAAATTTAAGAAAGAAGTGTTTTGTGTCAATAAATATTATTTGGATTTAGTGCATAATGTAATATTTTCAATATATATGTATGTATATTTGTATGTAGATGCACTGTTCCTTTTGATAACTTGGAGCCTCTGCCAAAGAGTGAAAAGCCTCAGTGGTCTTTGCCTTATAAACATTGTCATCAGTTATCGAGTGCTCAACAAAAGTCAGCCATTTTAGCACTCACAGACTTTGGTAAGTTGCTGCTCCTTCTATTTGTACATATTTTCATCTCTATTTGATCCACTTACCATAAAATCAATGCCATTTGCATCTCTTTTATCTAATAAGGTGGCAAATGGAAAAAATCTAAAGTAGGAAAGCCCCGCAAGTTGAAGGAGACTACCATTCACACACCTCTGTCTCCTCGTTTGCAATACAACAGTAAGATGAATGGAGGTTCAGTAAAACATTCCACTCAGCACAATGCAAGGTAAGAATAAAATATTTTAAATGGATATTGCTTCATATATGGCAGTTTATTACCAAAGTTTTATGAATTCTGAAGAAGTCCACACCCTTCAGAATTCAAGATATCCCAAAACCAAAATATTTGGATTTGCTGTCATTTATTATTATAGGCTATAACATCATTCGTATTGCCATAGCTATAAAACCATGTTAACTGAACTTGACAGGATTCTTGTAGGTATACAATTCAGTTGTTTTAATATTGGTATTTTAACATTGAACGTCATTTAAAATGTTGTCATGCATTTTAATTTTTAACATCTTATCGTGATCGTAAGCCACCTGATGATGGTCATACCAGTGATTAAAACATGTGGTCATTTATAACAAATAATATGCAATTAAATTCATTTTGCAGATGACAATAGTATTTTAATTTATCATATCATACAACAGGATGTCTGTATCTAAGAGAGGGCCTGAGCTTTGAGTTTCTGTGTTTTAACCACTATTCATTATATGTTGAATTTTCTCATAACTTGTTAATTTAGTGAAAAGAAAAATACTCACATAATAAAATCGTTATTAGGCTTATTTTAAGTATGTGAACAACTTCCATTCAAAATTTCTGTTGAATCAATGTATTGTGCTAACACACATGTAATCCATGATGATGTTCTTTATGAAAAGTGAAATTCTTTTGCTACATTTTGTTAAAGACCAAGATCTATGATTGATTCAAAATGAAACCGTGATTTCTGTTGGAATTATGGTTTGTAGCTGGATCCTTTACCAGACTCTCTGCACCTTATACATTGTTGAAGTTTCCTTGAACCTTATTCAGTGACCTGATTCAGTGCTTTGTTCAACTGTAGCAACTTAATGTAGCTGTAAGGGACGTACATTATGAGTGTGCACTGTAGACTGGTAGAAGTTTACCTAGATGTAAGAGGTCCTTGCTGCCTCCATCAATCGCTCTGATGATGTAGGCAGCAAGGGCCTCTGAAATGGTGGTAAACTTCTACCAGACTGCATGGTGCTTCAACCCAGAAAATAGTAATTTTCTAGGTAACCTTCTTGGTTGGAATGCACAGTCCTTATGTTAAATTTGACAAGTAGCCTGAGGTAGTCTGAATGTATGATAGGATGGCCACTACAGCTGACAGGATTTTGTCTAGGGTGCAAGGTACAATGAATATCCATTGTAGAGTATTTCCCTGGTCCTGTGTTTGCTTAGGTGACCTCCTTCGTTATATAATTGAAATATTTCTGAAGTATTTAGGCTACTAGTGCATACATTATGTTTGTTTCTATTCATACTTTATGTATTCAGGTGCAATTTTACCATTACTATGATTTTTTTATATTTCCATATAAAATCTCAAAAAATTGCAGGCTTTTGAAATATGTGCATACAATCATGTTACACTTTGTTTCCATTTCCAGATTTTTACATGAACAGATTGGTAACCAACAAGTTCAAATGTCTTTCCAGAACTTTTCACCAGAAAATTTAAGTAATCTTCAGAATTACAATGTAAGTTTGTATGTTATGGTTCTGTTGACAGTTGTCTAATTTTTAAAAAAGGAGTGAAATAAAAATATTAGTGTAAAATGGAACATCATGATGTAGTCCAGAACTGTGTTATAGATGCTCGTTCATGCAGTTGTATTGTCTAACAAAATTTTTATGGATTACAGAACTATTCTGAAAGCATAAATTACAGTAATTGTAAATACAGTATTCTTATATCATCATCATTTACCGACATTTTAACCCAGAGAGTGGTCATGTGATGAAGCCTTCTCTGTTCTTTTCAGTCCTCCTCTATGAACGCATGTTGTATATTTAGTACATTCCCAATTATCCGGGCTAATGAATGAGACAAGATACTCAAGTAATTGAAAAGACATACCCTCACCCTCTTCTCCCTTTTGTCTTGTGCCAACATTGACAATGTCCGTCTCATGTGCTGGAAGCCCACTTTACATGCTTCACGTTGTAGCCATTCTGCAACATTTCTTTGTTGATATTTTCAAAACTTCTCATATAACATACCATGTCAAGAATATGAGACATTTTGATTTCTTCTTTAGGAAAACCTTGAATATCATCATCTTCAAGATCTGGGAGAAGTTTCTTCCATGTTTTAACTAGTGTCACTTGTTTTTTAGCATCATTTCATGGATGCAATCACTCAGTCCCTACTCCATGATCTTGGAAAATTCTGTCATTGATTCACTGTTCTATACTTTTCCAATTAACTTGAGCTTTTGTTTTACTGTCAATACGGTTTTATACAATTTTTAGCCATTACACTTAGGATCCATAAGCATTAACTATCACTTTCATGTAACTGATGCACAATACACTGCAAGGGAATTGACTGTAAGATACTAATATTTTAAAAAGACCAAATGTACCTTTACCATTCCTTCTTTCCACCACGAGCATTGGAACAAACCTCTCCACTCGACCATCGATACCAACTGTAAAGTACTAACAAAAAATATGTTATTTAACCATATCATATGTGGACTCTCGCAAAAACCAAACCTTTTCTTCTAAAGCGGGTGCAGAAAGGTGTTGAAAGCCTAGTTCACATGTCTGCATCTATGTAAAAATAAGTTGTGCATGTATAACCAACACATGAATAACTGGGAGTTTACTGTGCACTGTTTTTATCTTTTTTAAATTTTATATGCATTTTTAATATTATTTCTTTGTTTTTCAGAATGTTAGAATGGATATGCCTGTATCTGTGATGTTAGAGCAGCCAAATTCAACATCTAGTCCAGTGATGACTCAAGCGATGGTCATGTCCTTGGCTCCGCCAATCACTACTGCCAACAGTAATGCAACTAGTACCAATAATGTAATAAAATCTGGAGAACTTGGCCACAACAGTCCTGAGAGATGTCTGTCTCCACTGCAACAGCCAGATTCTACTACTGATTTGCCATGTTCACAGCAGCCTATGATGACAGAGTCTGTTGATCCAATGCCATCTCTTTCTCCGTCACAGTTCATGTCTTTCACAACATACTCGAACGCATTGCCACTGGCGTCACAAGCCCCTGTTCCTACTTCTGGTCCTCGACCAGATTCCAATATTACCAACCATGGAATTATGAATCCTTCATGTTTCAGTGAAACAGTTTGCACTAAAAGTACCACATTACCATACATGGTATGCAATACAGGTGTGTCTAGTGTGAACATGGGTGGTGTTGTTAGCCTACCAGGAGGAAGTGAACAGCCACTGAGAGACTTCAGTGGAAACCTTCTGTTTCAGCCGGTGAATTTCATGGCACAGAAATCTGTGCAAGTCAGTGGCAGTGACTTGCCTTTATCAGGTGTGTATTAAATGAATATGCAAGATACATAAGTGATAAATTGTACAATCTTCCTATCATGTGCTCATTTGCATTTCCACTCTCCAATCCATCACTTCATGCAGTCTGTCAATTTCATATTTTCCTAGATTTTTTCTCTTCATTTCACTGAAATTCATTCAAAATGAAGTTCTGGGAATAAGTTGTCATACTATACTTGAAATATTTCAGTTTGTGTAGTGAGGCTAGCAGGAACTATAAATAATTATACTATTTAGTGATCAGTTTCTGTCCAAATAGTCTACACTGCTCCTTCTTTTTATGAATTTTACATGTTTTGAATTAATCTGTTACCTTTTATGTGAACTTCAAGCATAGTGTTTTTTTTAGAGTTTGTTACTGTTACTATATTCTTATTTAAATCTTACCTCATATAGAAGTGCTGTGAAAGAAAAAAATGTTGAAATAATTTAATGGAGCACAATCCTTTTGAGAAGTTGCTAATTACTAATCTATCCAAGAAGTTGTCCACCTTTCATGGAATAAAAAGGTTTAGTAATGTGTTCACAAGAGCATGCTGTTAGTACCCATCTTGAGTCTGATGAATTCAATCTACACCCTCACATCGTGTTTCTTAAAGATGCATTTTAATATTATCTTCTCACCCACACTTTGGTCTCCCAAGTGTTTTCTTCCCTTCTGGTCTTTTATCCAAAATCTTGTTTGCATTTGCATGCTGTTAATTTACTAATATTGATCTGTAAACTGCTTTCATGAATAGAAATTTATGAATTGAATGCTTATTTTATTTTCTTTTTCCAGACCTCTCCACTCTCCGCTTTTTCTATAATCTTGGACATGATGTAAGTTATGACATATTACACATTTTTTTTACATTGAGACCCATTCATACATTTGTCGTATATAATAAATACAGTAATACTAATAGTAATACTAACTAGATGGCTTAGGGAACCTGAAGGTTCATCACTGAATTAACCAAAGCCCTCCACCAGTCCTTGTCCTGGGCCAGCAAAATCCAATTGCAGTACAGTAATAGATGTTCTTAAATGTTATTACAAATTGTACATTATTCTTCTGAGGGATTATTTTTCCATCATTTATAATAATTATGCTGATACAGTGATATCTTTATCAGAAAAGTATCTCAGAATGTTGAAAACTCTGTAGGAAACAAATACTAACACTGACAAACTAATTTTATGGGACACAATACTTCTTGTGGAGCTGATAGTCTTTCACCTGTTAATAATTTTCTCATCATTTTTTGGCCCTGAAGGTTTATTACCATGTTCACAAGAGCCTGCCATTGGATCCTGTTCTGAGCCATATACAACCTCACATTTGTTTACTTAAAATCTACATACTTAAGTATTATCTGTACTAAAGCCTCTAAAGGGGTCTCTACTCTGTAGGTTTCTGACTAAAATTTGTATTGATCGTCTTCCCTTTGCGTACTAAGTGTCTTATACATTTCAGCCTCTTTTATTTGATCTCTCTAATAGGTATTTGGTGAAGAGCATAAGTTATTAACTCCTCATAGTTTTCTCCTTCCTCTTGTTACCACTTTCTTAGATCTTGATATTCTCTTTAGCACTTTGTTCTCAAACTCTCTCAGTCAGTGTTCTTCTCTTATGGTAATGACAGTCCAATTTTCACATTTATACAAAACATCAGGTAAATTTTCTGTTTTTTATTAGGAGTTGGGAACACAAAATATTCTAAACCAAACGGAAATCACTTTGCAAAGTGTTATAATTTAGGTTACTTCGTTCAAACATCATGCAGCTGAGGATTTGCATGGTAGTAGAGTGTGGAAAAGAGATGATAATGTTGGCACTACTGAAAGTATAAATTTAAATAGGGTATGCCAGAAGATGTGTCTGCATATGTGAGAATTCTTGCAGATGGGAAGAAAGTTGTTCTTTGTCAATGCTATTCCATGCTTCTGCTAACACTTACATCAATCTTAATTTTTGCCTATCTAAAGTGTGTGCACATAAACTGAGTATGATCATATATGTTAGTTTTTTTGTCTGTGTTATAACAAGGGATTAGACACATGCACAATTATTTGCTGTGTGAAGAGTTCACTCTATTGTTATCAAAGTTAAGGTTTACTATTAATTGAATGAATCATGACACTTGCATAAACATAGTCATCCTTAAAAAGTCTATTAATATGAAATGTTTAATGTTTCTTATGTTATAGTATTTCCAGCTCGGCTGTATGTATTTGCCTAACTCTGTGGCACAAGCAAAACCAAATTTTTCTCCTCCACCTACCTCAACACCAAATTATGGTGAAAATTTTGCTTTTAGCAATCCTGTCATGACTTCTAACAACATAAAAAATGAGCATCATATGCTAGGTGAGTACATTTTTTCATTATATTGTATTTGTATTTATTACAAAATGCCATGTCTGCCTGTCTGTGAGATTTGTGATGAATGTTTGTGTGTTGAATATGAAATTCGTGAAGCATGCATATACGAATGAGACAATATGGAATAAAGGTGATATATCCTACATAAATTAGTAACATTTGTTACTAGTTTTTAAAAAGTTAATTCCTAAGTATGTCCCGCGCCTTAGCCGCGCGGTCTGAGACATCATGCTTCGGACCAGCGATATGGAATGAGCGCTGGTTCGAGTCTCAGGGGAGAAGAAATTTTCTCATGAGCTTTCAACCAGTGTATGGGACCGGTGCCAACCCAGCATTGTGAGGAAATTGGGGAGCTACAATGAGTAGCGTAATCTGGTCATGAAAACTAGCAATGGCTGGGGGTTCGTCGTGCTGACCACACGTCACCCTATATCTGGTTGGATGATCGCTCACCTCTCCTTAGGCATGTGAACGTGAGGCCAGCAGTCAAGCTAGTCGGCTTTGGCTCTCTGGAGCTGTTACGCCACGGATTTAATTTAATTTAATTTCTAAGTATTAAAAAACCTCCATTGATGCAAGTACTTCCTGAGATAGTTATAGTTACTTAGCTATACAAGAAACTTTCCACCTTTTATGTAACACATAAGACTCCACCGCTGGACCCCATTCTGAACAAATCCACACCTTCACACATACATTTTTATTTCTTTAATATCCATTTTAATAATTTTGTTCCATATATGTATCTAGGTTTCAAAAACCTCCTTTCAGGTTTTCTGAATAGTATCTTGCATATATTTCTTATGTGCCCCATACATGCTCCATGTCATACATCTCATCTTCCTTGAAGTTTAATTGAATTATAAAAATCAAAGTTTTCTAAAGATATTCAGCTTTTTAATACCATTGTGGTAATGTTTGTCATTACAGATTCATCGCCATCATTGCAAGAAGATTTGTATCAAGTTGGACAGGAAGTTACAACACAGAATATTATGTTACCAAATGATCACCATGTTCATATAGTTACTGATACAGATAAAACGGGTTTACATACTAACAGTATTGAGAATGAGACTATCACATGGCAACCAAAGCAAGTTGACATGGAAGTCTCAAATGCATTACAGAAAGCATTAAACAGTGGGTTTCCCTCCAGGACCAGTAAGAATTCCCCTGATGGGAGAGCAAATATAACACAAAATTGTGAGTATTTGTGAAACTAGTTTTTTTTTCTTGCAACTGATATAGATGCTAAACCTAATAGGGATGGAAGTTACAAGTGGTGACACTTCATTGGTCCCCTTCTGTAAATAATTACTAAAACTGTGGATATGGCAGTGTGTGTAAAATTATCTACCTGAGAAGTTTCTCCAAAATAAATAGCTGTTTCAGCTATCGTGTTTTCTCTCTTGCAGTAGAAGACAAACATGTAATTTTAAAGGGAGTTGACAATAGCATTCAGCTCAGTTGCTGTAGTTTCTGTCAGTTGGTTAATGACACTAGTCTTTTAGAAAAGTGGGTTACATAGTCCGTCTTTCTGAAAACCCCTATCTTAGTGCACAATATATTTGTTCCTGTTCAATGTTTTTCATTCCTGAGGAATATTATAATATTACATACAGGTAACCACATTCACTTTTTTCAGCTCATATTGGAAGGTCTCACCAAAATCAAGCCAGACACAGTGAACCATATGAAGCACAAACAACAGCTCAGCAGTCAGAGGATTTGGAAGGTAGTTGTGGGGATACCATTGGTTCACCTGCACAGAGTAGCTGCCCAGCTGTGCTTACTACCAGCTATAATATTCCTCCTCCCACTGTGCCATATGCCTTTACTCCAATGCCACCTACAGTGTACAACCATACTGTGGTGCCATTATATTTCCCCATGGATTCTGAACAGGGAATGATGTTTGTGCCATATTACCCACAATACACTGTTAATTCTTCTGTACAGTTGGAACCACAGGAAACAGTAGCTGTTTCAACAGCAGTGCCAGATGGGCAAGCAGTTTCATCACACTTCACAGGATCTGTTTACAGTCCGGTAAAACAGTCTGGGAACAGTGAGAATGGATGTTTTAATCCATATACTGTTTATTCTCAGCCACCAACACCACTTCTTTTCCAGCAGCCATCTTCTGTACCTGCTGGTGTATATCCCACTGGTATTGGACCCGAAGCTAACATATCAATACCAAGATGGATGCAAACAATTCCAGGCCTTCCTCATATGACACCAACTCCTTGCATATTACAGCCAACTCCAGCAACACCATTTGGCACACCTGTCACTTATAATACTGTTGCTTAAAAAGTACCAAAAGACAGGAAATCAATTTAGCATCCTATACAGTAAGTTGTTAATAAATAATTGCTAGTTAATAAATGTATTACACAGTATTCCAGGTATTTCCAGTAGAGTATGAATTCCTTTCTCAGCAATGAGATTTGTTCCGTGCTTTGACATAAATGTGCTTTAGCTGTTCATCAGCAGCTCATTAATCAGTGTAATATGAGACTCTGATGGTAGTGAAATGAACAACTGATGGTCATAAAATACATAATATAACCTTCACAGATCATGGGCCCTTGCACTTAAGCATATATGCTTATATAATGAATTATTATTATTTTAACTTCAAATTCTTCCTCATTAATTTATATAATTTTCTGTGTTATAATTTGTTTACATTCTATTATATCAAAATGATTAAGAACGGATGCAGCATTTTTGTGAATGTTCATCATTTAACAACTTACTGTATCAGATGGTGAATTTATTATGTTGCAGCTTGATACTTTTATTACTTCATTAACATTGTACATAAGACCAAATACGTGCTTGGACATTGAGTACTTTGTAAATATCTAATGAAAAATGTCTTTGCATGTATTACTGTTTATTTATTTATTTATTTATTTACAGTCATATATTTCATTTATCTTATGTGCATATGAAAATGAAATAGCAGAAGAATAAACTTTAGCAAGAAGTGTGTAATCAACATAAACACACAAAATGAAAATTTACGTTTTTGTCAAAATAGTAGACCTCATCATATTGTGGTACTGCAAATTTATACAGAAAATTGTTTTTATTTTATGTCAATGTTGTGGACAGAAATTTGTAAAATTACAATATGATTTGGCACTATGCTTTTAAGTGCTCTTTCCAGTTATCTTATTCTGATGAGATACTTCAGTACAAGGTATTTACTTTCATAGCTTTAAATGTGCATATAAAAACAAGTGAGTTGTTAATCAGTTATGCAATATAAGCAACATAATTCCTTATTTTAATTTGCAGATTTTCATATGTATGTTGCATATGTTACTGACTTTGCTAATGAGATGTTTACCAGAATAAGCGAACACTAAATGTTTTTGCTGTGGTGAATATGGTATTTAGATCAGTGAAATATTTTTCATGAAGTAATATTATTCCCAATTAATTTATCATATCTGTAATTTTTTAATTACATAACTGTGTTCACAGCAGTAAAACACAAAGCAATTTATATTGACCAATTGTTTTCAAATTCATTCATTTGCACAGAGAAATGTACTGATAAGTTATACAGTTTCTGTTTCAAGTAAGTAGTCTTTGTAACTGAAAGTATGTATTATTAAGTTGGTGAAATATACTTTTCTTCTTCATAAGTGCAATGAAACTAGAATGAAATTAATCAGATTAAACTGTTCAGCAGTTGTGACCATTATATTGGTTAATATTGAGATAGTATTTGGTTATTGAGAACTAACAAGTAATAATTACTTTAGTTGTCTTACATAAACTGTTTCCTCCTTTGAATGAGGATAAACAAAAATGTACTGTTGCATTATAATCACAGCTTATTTATATATAATAAAATTAATATTCCCATAAATGTGAAATGGTAAACATATTTATACTGTCCCCTTAAATATTTTGTATTCACTTGTCTTTTGGTTTAGTGACCATTGCGGAGGTTGTTACACCTTTTGTCAACAGATCCATGAATGCAGTGTGTCATGTCATCTACAAGTTTGTTTACTTGCCCATGCTTTTCCATACTAAGCATGTGTTACTTTGCTTAGCATATATGTACTACAAACTTCTCTCCAGTTCATGGGGACCATATATTCAACTGCACTGTAAGAAAATGTACCAAGCCACTGGAAAAATATTGATGATCAAGATGGCTTCACATTATACTGCATTACATGCTATAATGGCCTGTGTTATAATTAAATGCTGTGGAGGACGTATTTTTTGTAAAGATTTTGCTTCCAAAAAAAATCGCTGAAGTAGATGTACAAAAAATGGTGTAACAATCAAAGAATAGGTTATGCCATTTTATGATTCTTCATACAAAACAGATCTTTGGCTGTGTGGTTGTAAGAAATCTTCTTTGTTTTATTTTTGACCATGTTTCCCTTTTTTAACTGAAAGAAATATTTGGACAATGAATGGTATTAATGATATTGATTTCTTTTATATATTAAAAAAAGACATGAGATCTCAGTGAATTATGAGAAATCTAAAATAGCTTGATGGGAGTTTGGTAGCACTTGAATTGAAGATTCTTTCAACATAACATAATGTAGCTTATGTATTTTTGCAAGGAGACAGCCCATGATAGTGCTAAACTGACTTTGAAAAAATGCAAGGAATGTTTATTGGTTTGCTGCCAGTATTTAATAATTTGGTTTGTTAGTCCAATAATACATTGCATGTTTATTATGCAAATCAACTTTTTAATGATGTGTAGGAAACGTTTTGTTATGGATTCTGAGAACTATGACCCTCTAAAGTGGCTGAATGTCATGCCAAGACTTAGAAAGTAGATAATTCCCATCATAAGTGCTATACTATAAAGCAGAGGACTTCAGCCGCACATATTAATACATAACCTCTCAACATCTACATTCTGGGGCCATGTTCACCATTTTGATTGGGTCATATATTAACTTCCATGTAAACCCCCCCCCCCCCCAGGTTAGAGAGAAATTATGATTTGTAGGTGTTGGCATTACCGCACATGTATAAATTTGGTCATGCAGAATGTGAGGTTAAGTTCTGGCGCGCGAAATTCTTCAGTGGGAGTTGTGAATATATTCGTGGAATAGAGTTTGATCTGTTATGTTTAGTTAATGGGAGTTTTAGTCTAAACTTAATTAACTTCGTTTGTATTGTAGAGTTGAAATATGGCTCTTTGGGTTGATAAATACAGGCCGAATTCATTAGCGAAATTGGATTACCATAAAAAACAAGCTCTTCATCTAAAAAATTTGGTATGCCTTTATATATATACATATTCATGTTATGTTTGTAGGGTATTTGACTTTTTTTATTTTATTAGTGGCTTTACAGTCTACGAAAAAGCTTTAATGTACGAGTTTAAAACTATACAAGTTTTCCCTCAAACTTAAATGTTTAGCCACTGATAGTAGAACATTCAACTCAGTGTTGAAAGAACTGTTTATTACCATCTCTTACACTGTCGATGAATTTTTGTTACATAGAAATAATTAACAGATTGTAATAATGTTGATTAAAGCAATGACAGCACTTATGTGGGTACTGATTTCAAATATTTTTGTTGTGCAAACAGTGCCTCATAGAGCATGTACTTGATGTCACAATATATCTATGTATGAAAGTGATAACATGTTTTCTTGATCTTTAAATTCTTATTACATATTTAAGTCCATATAACAGAAAAGTTTACTTGTCACAAAGTTAGGCCAACAAATGACCTGTTTCAGCCTCTAGTATTAAATCAATCAGTTGTATTTTGCTGTAGATTCAGCAAGATGATTTTCCACTGGTTCCATTTTTATTATATTTTTCTGCAGGTTCAGCAAGGTGACTTTCCACATCTTTTAGTGTATGGACCATCAGGTGCAGGCAAGAAGACACGTATATTTTGTTTACTTAGGGAATTGTATGGACCTGGGGTGGAAAGGTTAAGATTAGACCATATGAACATGCATGTGAGTCAAAGATTTGGACTACTGATAAAATTTGTCCTTTTGAGAATCACCCAGAAAGATATAACAGCATAATGCTCTTCTGTCAATTATTAAATCACTTCAATGGAGTCAACATAAAGAATAATATTACTTTGATTCTCAAATCACACTTTGAAATGCCTCATATGGAAAAGTTTGTCATGATCAGAATACTGATTTAATGGTTCTAATTTCTTGTTTATATGCTGTTTTCATATTTTTAGACACCATCAAACAAAAAAATTGATATAACCACTGTGAGCAGCAACTATCATCTAGAAGTGAACCCTAGTGATGTTGGGTTTCATGATAGAGTTGTTATACAAGAGCTTATAAAAACTGTGGCTCAGACACATCAGCTAGACCCATCTGGCCAGAGGGAATTCAAAGGTATGAAGACAGTATGTAATAAATATCTTAAAATATGTGGGGTATTTGAGACATTTGATCCATCTATGATACCACTGAAAGTACTGAGAGGAATTTTTGCAGGGTGAAGTTAGGAAATGGATAACATTATATAACGATGAACTTCATAATTTGCACCTTTCAACTATACAGTGCATATTTTACATGACCATTAAAGTCATTGATAACAGTGCAGAAACTTTTCCAAGCAATTTGTTCTTCATGTAGGTGTTATATGAATGTTTTTAAAAATATTTTTAGTCTGGTGTGATATGTTTTTAGATGAAGATCTGGCCTTGCTACTTGTGTATAGAATTGAATACAACAGTTCAGTATTTCTCAATCAGTGGTCCACAGACCACATGTTCTTAGCTTAATATATGCCATTCTCATACTGTAGTTATCATTATATATATTTTAACAAAGAAATATTACTATTTTATATCTAGTAACTAAATGGTTTGTGTTGAACATAACAACTTATTTCTTCTCTCCCTTTTGTGGAATTTAATTGTGTGAGTGGCTTAGTTGTGAGGAAGAGGATGCATTGTTTTGGGATTAGTTGCTCCATCCCTCAGAAATGGGGATGTGGAGCTGAATGTCCTTGCAATTGGATATGCATGACAGATTGTTTCATATACCCTCATACATAAACTTTAACCGTTATTGTGCAGGAATAAGGGATTTAAATCCTAGTAATATGAGGCTATTGGCTAGACTTTAACTCCAGGGTTAATGATTTAAAAGTATACTATTGTGATGCATGGTCAGCTAGACTGTGTGTAAACCATGATGCATGATTGATAAAGTTTGGTTGTGAATGTTGAGTGTGAGTAATTACAGTATCTTTGTTTTTGGTATCACATAAAGTTGTTAATTTTTGTACAGTAAATCCTTGATTTAACAGACCAATAGGGAGGGTGATGTCTGTTAATTGCACAGTTCTTTTATGATGCCAGTAATGCATCCTTAGACTATAGTTTCCATTAGGAACATCATTAAACGGATTAGTTATATAAACTGGACACCCACAATGACACAAGGTTCATTAAAACACTGCAGTGTAAGAGATAATTAAGTGCAAAAACAGGCAATGGTCATAAGTGGACATTTTTGGTTTCAACAGACTTTGCCCATTAAGGTCCATTAAAACCAAAATGTACACCAATGCCTCACATCCAGAAAAAAAAAGAAGCAATACCAGATGGTGTTGAAAGTCTGTTAAATTTAGGGTTACTGTATTTAGAACAAGCAGTAGTGCTATTAATACTAGTAACAGACTCTTTTTTATACTGTACAATATGAGACAGGCCGGGCACTGGTTCTCAGGAACACCAATGATGTTTTACCAATATTTAATCAGAATAAGTTGATGACCTCTGCTTTATTTTATCTCAGGTTTTTTATATGACTGTTGTACACTACTTTTTCAGTTGTAGTCACCAAAACCAGCTGGTGTTATAACAATTTATTATTATGGTGTTAAATTTTTTGTATGCCATGAAAGTTATAAAGCTGCTTTGTGCTTACTTGTGTTTAAACTGCAACATATTTTTATAAAGTGTTTGAATTTTGAAAATGATGTTTAGGTTGAGGTTCAAGAAAGATCTCCATTTTACTACCCCACATTGTTTCTTAGCACATATTTTGATTTCTGTGCTTTTATGTCACTGTTATAGATATGTGACAAGAGAGCTGTACGTTTGAAGTTGCTGTTAATATTTATGCTGTGGTTTCAGTTGTGGTGATTTGTGAAGCAGATTGTTTGACTAAGGATGCTCAGCATGCTCTTCGACGAACCATGGAGAAATATGTTTCAACTTGTCGTATCATTCTTGTTGCCAATACAATTTCTC